TTTACAAGAATGGAGATTACAGCGAAGAGATGAAGACGCGGATCCGCGACAGGAGCTTGGCCGCAGGACTCAGCAACTCTCGGTAAGGTCTTCACACCCACACCAGTGAGCACCTGGGCGTTGGGGTCAGACAGCCACGTCTCAGGTAAGCTACCACATCTCTGAGCTCCCTTGCTCATTGGGAAGATTACACGTGACCATGTATGGAAACCTCTAACCCAGCACCTGGTACTGCTTTGTGCTTGAAAAAAGGCAGTTGCTGTTACTGTTTTACTTCAGAACTGCCCTAAGAGCACTGCCTCTTAGCAACCCCACTCCCAGGACAAATTCTCTAGCCCATCCCATCCTATATTGTCACCTTCTGAGTGAATGTGGATAGCAATGGGTGACTGCCAGGCACGTGCTTTTCACTATTCGGCCAGCAGGTGACAAGGGTTTCACCAAAGCATCCCTACTTCCTGGCCCACCCCACTTCTGTCAAGGAGGTAATAGCAACATCAACAACAGCTAACATTTATCAACCTTCTCCTGGTACTTTCCTTCCTACTTAAAGTTGACTGAACTGAGGCACAGAGATTAGAGCAGGATCACCCAGCTACTAAGTGATGGGGCTGGGATTTGAACACAAGCCTCCTGCTCCAGGGCCCACACTCTTGCTTTAAGACCGCCCAGCTGGCATCAGAGGTGTGGTATGTGGAAGGGCACAATGTGAAAGCCACTGACCTCCCACAAGCTCCAGGGTGGCTCATGTGACCATAGGCAGGGGAAAGGGAAAGGAATTCAGAAGGTATGGATTCCTAATACAGCTTTTGAGTCCTTCCCCCTCACTTCCCCAAATAGCCTAGCTGTGAGGATTAAAAACTCCAGTTCCCACCTTGCATCGCATGGACTGGCCTGCTTAGTGCAAGTCCTGCTGAGCATGCCGTGCCTAAAGGTCTGATCTGCCAACTCTGGTCTCTGATAAGCAAGTGAGCACTCTGGTTCATCCACACAATTTTCCTGAGCACCTACTGTGTGCCCAGTTCAGGGCCAAGCCCCGTGGACCCAAGTAGGGAGAGGATTCCAAGTCTGGCTCCTCAAGTTGCTGACAGACCAGCTGGGAAGACAACACTCCATGGAATTCTATTCCCCAGTTTCTTCACTAGAAAGGAAACTGAGAAGATGAGATCAGGGTGGGCTGGGTAGACCTAGGAAAGTCCATGGACAAGGAGGGCATCAGTAGATCTGAGCCTTGACAATGAGTAGAATCTGGGAGAGCAGGGTTCATGCCATCCAAGGGGCAGGGGTGTGAGTACAGGCCTAGAGGTAAAAACGAGTGGGGCGCGTGCCACTGAGAGTACGGAGACCTGCTCAGGTCAGCAGAGGGGCCAAGGCCACATGCTGGAGGGCCTGGAAGGCAGGCACAGGACTTTGGCCGTGGTGGCACAGGCCCCGAGGAGCCTCTGCGGACTCCTGAGCAGAGGAGTGAGGGCCGTGAGGAAGCTGGGCTTTAGTTTTCTCCCAACATGTCAGAAACCCCAGAGAGGGAAGGCTTTGATTCCCCAGGTTAATGGTAGCAGAAAGGTCAAGATGAAGGTGTCAGCGGCCTAAGCAGGGCTTCTCTAGGCAACGTCTAAACCAGAAGCACTGGAGTCCCCCTGTCAGCACCTGTGTGTAGTCAGCATTTGGCTGAAAGGAACCTGTACGAACCGCAAGTGCGTGTTAGTCAAGTTCTATAGAAAATTTTTCTCAGAGTACATGGAAATGCTCCATCTACATGTTAAAAAAGTGAAGTTCCGTGAAATCATGAGAGCAGAGAAATCCAAACTTCAAATACTCAATTTGCAAAAATTTCCCTTACTAATAAAAATTTTCCTTACTGAGGAAAAGATGCACACCTCAACAAACTACAACCAAAGCAGAGTGATGTTTAAAGGGCAGAGTATAAAAGTACACATTGTAGAAGATATTATCACTTTATGAACATAAAGAGTCATCTCAAGGTATGGACCTCACACATGCTCTTGATTTTGAAATCTGTCATAGATGGTAAATATCAGAATTTGCATATGTTTGTGTGAAGTAAATAGAAAAATTGTGTGTGTGTGTGTGTGTGT